CAACGTAATGGGGAAGCAATATTTTGGCAAATTTTACAAAGATTTCCGTCTTCTGGGTTGTTGCGCTGTGTAGTCTGGTCGATGTTTACCAACGTTTCAGAGGTCGTACTGCCTCCGTCATCAGAGTATGAAGATTTCTGTCTTCTGGGTTTAAACCTGTGTGAACAAGGCTTTGCCGTGAAGAGGAACTGCAGAATGGATTCAGTAGGACAAATAATTTTAAATCACTTTCATAGTGCTTTAATTACGTCTCTTCACGGGAACGTTTATTGTGAGATTAAAAATGAGTGTCTTACGAATCATAAAGACCACATATTTATTAATGTCAAACTCACAGAAAGGTACGTCATTACGGGGTAGATCTTGTATAAACTTGCTATAAACCTATCGAAAGAAACATTTCAGTTTTTCGCAATACTTTTATTTGTAATCGATGCAAGTATGTGGCTGATATTTTCGCAGTCTTCATCCGTCTTAATGAAAGTTGACGTACGTATCATAAAATGCTACAGCCTTATCGTTTTGCTTCAGCAGTCAACATAGAAACAGAGAACATTTACGGGCAGAATGAAACGAACGAAAGGATAATGGGGCCAGTTTAAGACGTAAGAATAAAACGAACAAAAGGATAATGGGGCCAGTTTAAGACGTGAATGGAGGACAATCACTAAAGGCTTACGGAGATAAGTTGCGACTCTTAAGTTCTCTGTGCACCACGCAAAACACATATTGTAAGGAAAGAACGCGATTCATTGCAACTACTTAACCCACTGATGCATTACACTAATTTATCAATCATAAGTAAGTTTATGTTAACGAAACGAGCCCCGATAGCTCTACATAACCTAAATCATTCAGGAAGCTTAGTTTTCTAAGAATGCCGATGGACGTACGAGGCGCTGATGTAGCGATCACCACACTTCCTACCCATAATTCCTATTCTGGAAACAGTGGTTACATTCCCACTCAAAATAATCCTGTGAGAGGACCGTGAAGGATTTAAGGAAGCCTTCACGAGAGCTCCAGGCAGAAATCAAAGCCTACTTTCCTAATGCAGCGGGAATTAAATGCTCCGATTTTATGTTATAATACAATGAAAATCTATTTTCATACAACGACAATCTATTTTAATTTTTTCCATACAGTATTTTTCTAATAAAGCAATGGATTACGGTATTATCCATAGCGATAACATGCGCACGAAACACAGGCGAACAGCACATCACTACGGTAACTCCCATTTTCAAGGTCGTTACAATTCATTCAGTGTTATTAATAAAGTGAGTACCTTGTTACTACAATTTTTAACAGCTGTTGTTTTCATGAACAAGTCTGGAGAACCATTCTGAATCAGAATAATTGCCTATATTCCGACGAATGATTCGTTTGCTGTACCGCCTAGATTTAAGCATCTAATGGAGGCAGAGTTTTTAGGCACAGATCCTAAGGTACAATTATACTTGATTGCGCACAATCTGCACCCATTCCTGTATAGGGTGCTTATGCAGCTCGTGACTGAGGTAAAAAATGAATCAATTGCAGATAGTAGACAAACTTCCATGATGGACGTGAGAGACTCAACACTGTTCTAGAACTTAACGAGTTTTACAAGTGGGAACGTCAGTGCCTGTCAAGTCACGAATAACCACAGACGTATGAGAAAGGTTACTATTATGGCAGCAAATTTTAACAGTGACTCATGGTTTTCCAAATCTAGTGTTATAAGGGTCGCTGAACTAATTCGGGAATAATTAATAGCCACTAATGCAGAAGCAATAATGACTGCTCAAGTGATACTGAAAGTTGTAAAGTGAAACTATTAGTGGTCGATACTAAATTCAGAAAATTCATTCAGTAAAATTAATCGCACCTAAAATCAGAAAAGCGAGTCCGTACTTTCATGTTATTCATGATGATGTCACAAATGATTTCACAGATACAGGTGTTATTAAATATAAAATTTATACAGGTTTTTAAAGTACTGCCCTCCTCGCCTATTCAAAATAAAGCTGGAATATGCCAGTAGATTTCCACAATGTACTTTCACTAAATTCATTATAGTTCTGTAGTCCTTTTTATGTTAATATTAAGGTATGCTCTTTACCATCCTTTAATACTTTTCTTATCGTTTGTTACGAGTACATAAACGTTATTTCAATTAGGCCTTATACACTTTACAAGCGATTAAATTTATACGTTTTACCCATCCGTTTTCGACTAAATTCTCTTCTTTTGGTTCTAATTTTGTAAGCAGTGCCCATTTTCTGTAACACAGGCAACACCCATAGAGTACTTTACGTCCAACCACAGCATATTCGTTGAGACTTCAAGTTCTCACAGCGACCAAACACGAAGAAAACAATAGTCTTCATAACTTATTCCGTTATACTCTTGTTTTATACGCTCTTAATTTCTCTGTAAAAATATCTTGAACGTAGTGATACCTATATTTACATCTACGTTTACCAAATTCTCAAACCCCCATATGCACTCCACACTCCACCAGATAGAGTTACGTAGCTGTCATATCGTTCGCTTTCTTGCGATTCAACCAGTCTTTAAATTGTTACTCTGCTCCGTCATTTACTGAAAGCTCCTCTCTTTCGCCTGTAACCGCCAGACAGTGGGCAGTCCATAGTCAGTTCTTCGGAAGATCGGACGTCAATTATACTTGAGTGCCGTCTTTAATCTGCTGAAACGTGATCAATTTCATTCTGTGTAATTCCGCTGGGAGGCGTCCACGTATATTTCTTCAGGCCAGGCCACAGTGCGGAAATGTTTCAGGTCCACTCTTGACAACTGGAGTTTCTCGCAAAGATCACTGCTCCAGCCCCAATTATCACTATCAATTTCAACTTAAACACTTGTTAAGAATTCTCAATTTCAATTTGTTCACCCTCACTACTGTTTAATGGAAGTCTCCAAACAAATTATTTATGTATAAAATAAGGTACTGAAGAAACGTTTAGTCTACAATCATCCGTTGGTGAAATCCAATTCTTGTCATGTGTTACCGCCCCTACTTCTGTATATTTTAATATTTGTTTGCCCTTGATTTCAATAACTGTACATTCTAGAGACTCCTGACGTTATAAATTTCAAACCTCATAACCTAATTACGCTGTTTATTCTGTCCTAAATAAGCCAGTGGAGTATGAGACATTGTTTGCCCTTGATTTCAATGACTGTACATTCTAGAGACTCCTAACTTTATAAATTTCAAACCTAATATCCTAATTACGCTGTTTATTCTATCCTAAATAAGCCAGTGGAGTATGAGACAATTTGTGACATTCGTAATATACTATACCTCTTTACGTTAAACTGTTGTTTGCTTGATAATTGTTAGTTAGTTGCTTCATATCTGTAGGCTATCACCTCTGTTACATTACTACAGACGAGACACACCTCGATGAAACGGGACACACTGTACAAAGGGCAAATAAAACCAAATATAGTAATTGTGGGCATATATAACTTTTTGATTTTACAATTGTAACTCCGTAAGCAGAAAAAATTATTGAGTATGAGCGCCTACTGCAAATATATATCAGCTAAAGCCTAGCTTTTATAAAAGCAGTACAACACCTATTTATATATAAACCTCAAAATATTATTAAGGCTGAATTACTGTTCTACATTAAATTTAATTTTTAATAACAAGAAAAGTATTTAGTCCAATTAAAATATATTTAAACGAAAAGTCTAGGTAAACAGTTGTCAGGTGAATGTCCTATTCATAATGATCCAAAAGATGAATACACATAACAGCCATAGTTTTTAAATGTTGCTTTAAAAAGGGAGGATTTGCATTGAGTAGAGCAAATCAGTCATTGGTCCTTGCTGTTGATGTTAATTAAGCGGAAAGAAATGTCATAAAGAAGAACAAAAATCTTGATAAAACCTAGAAAGTAGGTTGGATTTCAAAAGAAAGCAAAGGAATGTATATAAAGGTTTTATTTCTGCATCATTACAAAAACGCAGAAAAAAGTATAATATACGTAGAAAAGCAGCTAATAAATCCTTTGAAATCGTATCAAAAGTTTAAGTACTTTGGAGCAACAGAAACAAATTGAAATCATGAAGTTAAAAGAAAATATTCTGGGAATGCTTCTTATTACTCAGTTCAGTTTATTCTGACGTATTTAAAAATCTTAAAGTTGAAATATGCAGAAATATAATTGTGTATGTTTAACACAGGCGTAAAATTTTGCCTCTTTAAGATGGTAGAGATTTAGACCGAAGAAAGTATTTTATACAGAATATCAGAGCAGGTAATAAGATGATATAGTATGCCCATATAATGTAATGAAAAGCTTCATAATTTATGAAGATTTCTGTCTTCCGGGTTGTTGCGCCGTGTAGTCTGGTAGATGTTTACCAACGTTTCAGAGGTCATACTGCCTCCGTCATCAGGGCGATCGCTACTACACAGCGCAACAATCCAGAAGACAGAAATCTTCATACACACCGCTGTGAAAACCTCAAATCATGCATCATAATTTATCTCTACAACCTATTGTGAGTGTGAATAAACACATTTATATGCGATTGGCCGGTCATTAAGTATGAACGTAGTGGTGAAAAATTCACTCACAGTTGTATTCATAAAATTTTAACAGGTGACACCACTGCAGAATTAGGCGTAAAATTTTTTTTATTAATTTTGGGTGTAAATATGAAAACTTGGTTGATCTGACTCAGGACATGTCCGAACAGTGGGCTTTTATAAACAAATTAATGAAGCTGAACGTTTAGATAGAAGTAGAAAGTCCCTTGATAAGTTGTATACTTACCAACTCTGAGGAATGTCCGAGCGCCATTAAGTTGCATGTGTCATCATACAGCGAAGAGAGTCATCCGGGAAAGTTATGGGAACAACAATACTTACAGGACTAGATCTAACCAAAATAAATAATTACAGACAAAGCCGTTACGTAGTGTAGAATTCTGCTGTACAAGACATCGCTTACGTTTCTTTGTAAGAGACTGAAACTCACCAGCCGATGTACCAGGGTTTCGTCCCATCCCGCATAAGCGCCCGGTCTTCACTCATGTTGAAAACCTCTCGCAACTGTGTGAACTCCGTCTCGTAAGGGAAGAACTGACACCCCAGCTGGAGGCTCCAGTGCTCCAGACGCTGTTCATATACTCCCTTGAAGAACTGGAAGCTGAACACGTTCTGAGCTGTCCAGTTCTCCATGGCATCAGTCACGACGACAGGGCGTCCTGTGTACGCGTACCTACGAACAAACAGGATCCTTCAGTCAAGTACCACAGCAGATATCTTCTTGAGAAGCTAACAGGTGCTCAGCTGGCGGATTGCTCTTGTTCATGTGACCCAAAGTTTTAGTCACGTCACGCATTGTGAAGTAATGCCAAGCAGGCTTATGAAAATGACTTTCTTCTCGGTTCTTGCTGGTAGAAGTTTATTCAAGAACATAATATCAGATATACTTGGAAATGGAGCTGTCTGAGAAGATGTGGTTAGAGCTGAAATAATTATAGCCCTACTGGCCCATTATTAACTTTTAAGGGTGGAGAAGCTCTAAGATACATTTGTCAGATTAACGGACTTGAAATGGTCGAAATTAACTGTCACTGCCTGCCATTAAGACGATTCTTTGTTTTTGTTTGTGCGTGTTCTTAGAGTTTCAAATCGAACACTGTTCATCTGATGTCCATTCATTTAGACTGGATGCTGCAGTCACTACAATTTATCTTGTTTCATTTAGCCATTTTAAACATTCTGTCAAACCACAACTTACAGCACTAACACTTATAGGTCTTTGTCTGAAATTTTCATAAGCCTGCCCTCTCTAATAATCCTACTAATCGATACTGATGTCTTCATTCTGATTCAAGTTAACCAATCCCGAATTCTTGTTTCAGATTTTAACCTGTTACTGCTCTCAGTTTTCGCTTATAACTTACGGCATCTCTCTGCCTAGGTCATTCCGGGAAAAATAATAAAGTATAGACTTTGTGTAATATTTCATAACACGCTACCTTTCTTTGCGATGGTGAACCGTTAGACTACAACCCAATGCCCAAACTAAAGAATAACCCATATCAGCAATAGCTTATCCAAATTATTCGTAGCATCCCTCCATATAAATTATGGTCGTGGACTCAATCCGCTGCCTGATATTACGAACGGTCCAGAATACCAGAACACGTGTTAATTAATTCTAGTTGCCACAAGGAATTTACAAACCCCCCCCCCCTCGAAGGTGGGTGGCCTTTAACGTTCAAACTAGGGGTTGCCTGTGTGGAATGTTCTGTCACTCCTACCCTCACACGAGATCAGCAGCAGCTGCAGTGAATGAAACCACTTATAACGCTTCGACATTATGATAGATTGATCAAATGCTACAATGAAATGCATACGGTACTGCAGTGGATTTGACAGTATATAGCCGCTGCACTTGGTTCTAGTTAAAAGTGTAAGCAACTCTTTCTGTCCAACGAAACTTGTATCAAGCACTTAGGGTACTGTAGGCCCAGTTATGAAAATAAAAATTTTCCAAGATAATTGATATGTTTTTAAAGAGTCCAGTTGATATCCAGAAGTCGATACTTTATAATAATAGAAACAGTGTTCGATGCGGTTATGGAGTCAGAGCATTAGTTTATTACTTTATTAGCTGGTAGCATAATGTTATTATATTCTGCTTTACCGAAAAATTGTAAGAGTGTCAATTAATCTGTAGATTTTTTTTACGTAGTTATTATACAAAGGAATATAGAGTGTATCTGAAAAGTCTCTATAAAATTTGGGGTGTGTTATAAACATCAAAATAATACATAAATATATTTAAACATGGATTGGCAAAAGCTACATTCCTTAAAAGTGTTCCGTGTTGCAACTATTTCAAATTACATTCCCAACATCAGTAGTTAGGGCACTGCTGTAAAAGGACAAGGCTTGTGTGCATCTTATTTGTCCTTCAGATATAATTCTACTCCACTACCAGTGTCAGTGCGTTACTGACACATCTCCACTAGACCAACACAGTACCGCTGTGCACACAAGATAGACACAGGTTCACAGCTTATGCAAAATTAAACCCAGATGTGCACAGGTCTTGCTGCCCCACAAGAGCGACTAAGGAGTTGGGAATATAATTTTAAATGGTTAGCACACTGAAAATTTTGCCAGGTTGTACCTTAAAAAGGAGATGTTTTTCGGACCGGCTTTCATACGAACTTTCTGTGTTGTTTTGCTGTGTATAATTCATCCCCAAGGTTTATACGGACCTTGCAGAAACACCTTGTAGCCTAGATAAATAATCATGTCAGTTATGTAATTAAAATAAAAGAAATATGCAATATTTTTAAGCTGAATTATTGTATTTCAACTATTTCAAAAGTTTCAATTAAAATTACAATTTGCATTGCAATTCATACTGACGCACAATAATATAAAGTACAAATGAATTCAATATACAATGTCAGATACTAAATACAATTTGGTGCTTGGTAATTTAAAAAGATTTAAACCGTAAAAATAATTCGATATCTATATTAACGTGTCCGATATCGATTCGGAACTTTATACGTATTGGCATTCCTATTTACACGTGGAATTCGGTGTGTTGGTTACGAGGAATGTGACTGCAAGTTGTGGGGCCGTGCTTGATTCACGCAATCAGAAACACAATTTCTGTTGCGTTATGACGCCTTCCAAATGAAATAAGTTTATGGTACATGCCCAATGTGACTCTGTTCCACAATTAGTAGCATGTGAACTATTGCCGTATTTTCTTTCAAACTGAGGAGAAAGCCATGCCATTTGTAGTCGCTTCACATTCCAAAACCCCAACAGTTAGGTAATGGACGTGAGAATTTTATGGGTTCTGGAAATAGTGGTGCCATTAAACTCTGACCTCTGAAGATTTGTAGTAGATCTCTGAGAAAAATGCAGAATATTTGTCTTCGGTATAAATTAAAAACATGGTTAGAAATAAATCCCTGCAATTTACTTTATTTTACGACAACCGCTTTGGCAGGCATGAAGAATATTGTATGGTGATTATTTTCGTTGTACTGCGGAGAACTTATACAGTAAATCACAACGTTAGTTCCTTTAAAATAACTGTATTGCAGCTGTATGTAGTTATGATTTACAAGAACTTTACTGCGAGGCTGAAGACTTGAAACAGCCGCGTTCTAAGAAGCAAGGAACAGAAGCCCTTATAACCCGCTGCACAAAACAAATTTCACCCTCTGAGCTAGCTCTACTCTACCCACAGAAAACTAGTTTCTACAGTTCACTTACTGAGGCTCCTAATTTGATAGTAAAATGTCTTTAAAGAAGGATAGTAGAATGAGAAAAGTGTTTTTATAAGATAGCTGTCTTCTGAGGTGTAGTGTCGTGTTGTCTGGTCCATCATCAGAGCAACGACACATCTACCTGCTGATGGAGGCAGCAATGACCTCTAAATCGTCGGAAAGCTTCTACCAGACCAAGGTGCAACAACCGAAAGACAGCTAACTTCGGACTCGCTAAATTATGACGGTCATCTTGTTTTCTGAAGTGTCTTTTAACACACCCGGTTGGAACAGTTCGGAGTCCTTGGCTCCAAATATAACAACGACTGAGGCGCAAGCCAGGCTGTAGTATACATCACGTCTCAGACGAGGAGGAGTACGACAGTACATAATACCAGCAGTTAATGTGATGAATATTAATAGTTTTAGGGAAACTCTAGCCCCATGTGCGCCCTCTGCGGAATAACTTGAGAAACTCAACTTTGTAGTCGTCTGGAAATGAGCACATTTCAGAATTCCATAGGATAGTTTAACGCATTCATACTACAAGGACATTTTTCGATCATTTATTTTCTTTGTAATAAATTGGCAGAAGGGTATTCCTGTGGTCTGGTGAAGAGACACGAACATACATTTAGTTGTAAGATTTGAGGTTTTCACAGCGGTGAGTATGATGATTTCTGTTTTCTGGGTTGTTGCGCTGTGTAGTCTGGTCGATGTTAACCAACGTTTCATCAGGGCGATGAATATTCATCGCCCTGACGACGGAGGCAGTATGACCTCTGAAATGTTGGTAAACATCTACCAGACTACACAGGGCAACAACCCAGAACACAGAAATCTTCATAATATTTAGATTTCACTGCGTTTATTGCTAGACCAACTGCCTAACAAATTGCGCCTATTCAGCGCTATTATATTAATAGGATAAGATGGATAGGGGATAGAGCGCACTTGGGACTGATGAGATGCATGAATGTGTTTGACAGTAACACCGGAAGGAAAGTGGCTTCTCTGGGATTCTATCTGTAAATGACTGGGCCACATATAAATGGACTTTAGATATATAATTATTAACGTAATGAATTGGATTTATCTGGTCCAGGGGTCTTGTGGACACTACAATGATTCTTCGGGCTGCTTAGAAGTTGGAGAATTTCTTGACTAGATGTACCTTCTCCGAGAAGATTCTGCTCAGTGGAGTTAGTCTGTTTCTACACGGAACCCCAATTAATATTATACACGGCGATCAACGTAATTGAATTTTGCTTGACTCCGACACCGCGCCATTGGAAACTCCCCAATTAACTCTGAGGGAATAATAAAATAGGGGTTGTGTAAACTTATGAGGTGGAAACAGTTTTGTGTTGGGGCAAATTTATGAAGGTAATCTTTTGATTAAAAAGTGGAACGCGAACGGCTGGCAAATTCCTCACACATATTTGTTATTTTGGCGGCAAGTGATGAATCGCTGGAACTTCACAACGTCTAATTTACTGATCAAACATAAGAATACTAAAGAGATCTAACACTTCAAATTCAAAATTAAAAAGTGCCGCGCCAACAGCGAATAATTTCGATACTTATTATATCGATACCCGCATTCTTCTGGTTGAATCACGCCAAATTATTGTTACGTGTTCTTCTGTTTTCCTGAGCGAAAAATACGTTTCGGATTCGTCTATTTGTGTCTGTCTCGTTTCGCGTACGGGGGTAGGCAATTTGCATGAGGGGGGATACATTGTTGGAACACGAAACCCTTGGTTACCACTATTGTGTAAAACGGAAAGAAAGATCATTGTTAGAACACATTATTGCCTAAAAGTGACCTCTGATCGCATTATTGCAGGAATGGCCCAAAACGCAACATTAATCCCACATCACATAAGTGAAAAAATGAACTTAGTGATGTGGCGTGAAGAACACATTCGGTGCGTCAGTGTACTCCAAAGAGTATACTCTTCAATAT